TGTAAATAATAGTGTAGTTGATAGTGCAAACGAATAAATTTATGAAAATGCCGAGAGTAGAGAGAACTCAGACACTTCCAATAATTTTAATGACGTTGGCCAACCCGCTCCTTATGTAACACGCAGTGGAAGAACAATTCAAAAGCCACACAAATTAGATTTGTAAAAAAAAGCATGTAACAAGATGTAAACATGTTGCAAATATCATACATATAAGATGGTCTATGGCAATCCTAAGGATAAGATGTATTTGTTAGCTATAAGGTAACTATATTGTAAAATAAAATATAATTTTCAGGACAATAAATATGCAACACGTGGAATTCGTTAAAACTTGCATTGCTGAACTAGTTTGGTAGTACTTCGTTAGGGGGCTGGCCAATGCCTTAAGTGCAGCTTGACTGTCACTGCAGACACGTAAACTCCTTCCCCTCGACCTATTATCCACCACGTAGGCCATGCCCTTGAGGATTGCAAATTCCTCAGCCTGGGACACCGAAGCATACTTCTCAAGAATATGGTAAAGCTCATCCATATTAACTTCGAAAAACCCCCAGATCCTGATCCATTGTCAGTTTTGGAGCCATAAGTGAAGATTCGACAATGTATGAGTCCGGCCTCAGTGTTGGAATTAAACCAGCATTCAGCCTCAGGGAAACCAACTTCCTGTGGGCCACGGTTGCCACTTCATAAAAATTTTGTGTTTAATGTTTCAGGCCCAAAATAAAATAAAATGTACAATTTTTTGCCGTCCAACGAAAAAAAAATTTTTATAATATTAAACGTTAAAAAAAATTGCAATAATTTTTTTTTCATTATTTACACAGGTTTACAAAACAAAAGTTTCTGCATATTGAACCAAACCTGTAATCCCTATGGTATTCGTCGCCCTGAATACGAATCTGAGGTCTGTTAGTCACCATCAGATCAGGTTCGAGGTCATTTGAAGGTCAAGTAGTGAAAAATTTGTTGAAAAACCTGAAAATTCAATACAATTCTTCTGAATTTGACCTTGAGACGACCTTGGCATGACCTCTAGATAACTTTGAAGAATTAAGGGACCCCATATTAGGATTCAACGACAACAGAAACTTATGTATATGACTTTATTTTTTTCAGACCTCGGATTCACATTCAGCGCGTCGAATACCATAAGAATATAGAGGCTATAACTCTCGTCAAGAAACACAGCGGTATCGAGTCCTGCCACGGTGCAGCGAACAAAGGTGGCGCCGCCAGTGGTACCGCTACTTTGGTTTTGCCGATTTTGACAGTTGTGGTAACTTGTAAATGAACCTTTGTTTACAAATCAGCGAAAGAGAAATATGAATTATAAGTGAAAAATCAGTTTAAATTGTGTTAATTTGCAATTTGTGAGTGATTTTTGAGTTGAAGACTGCGTAAAAACTAATACAATGAAGTGATGTGTGTTAAGAAGCGTAGATGCAAGCGTAGCGCTGGGGCGAATCGCTGCATTTTGTGTACATAGGGCACGGCAAAGCCGTTCCCGAAATGTTTCTCTATTATTATATTAACAGCATTTCCTCACGATTTTGTTTCTGCTCCACGCAGCCTCCATTAGCAAGTTAACTAATCAATCCCGCAAAGATGCTGCTGCAGTTTTCTGCAGCAGCCTTAATTGCAAAGCATTGGAGTGCACTAAAATGTTCACTAGGCCGGGTCGATTTGTGGGGAAGCAAAAAAATCGCCCATTGCTCTGTGAAAATCATATTCTAGGGATCA